GTACATAAAAGCATGTTGTTCAATTCTAAAATGAGGAGGAGGAAACCGACTGGGCCTTGGAGTCAGACAGACCTGGGTTCAAAGTTGGCTTTAGACACTGAAAAGCTGGGTGATCCTATGCTAATCCTCTTTGGCTCCATTGCCTCATTCATTCATTCATTCATTCATTCATTCATCCATTCAACAAAAATGATACAGAAGCCTAACTATAGGTCAGGTACCAAAAAATAGGAAGACCTGGGGTCTTTACCTTCACAGAATTTTCTTGTCTATAAAAAGGAAAAAATGAAACATTTGCCTTGTAGAATTGCCAGAAGAATCAAATAAGATTGAGTATTTATAATGCTCAGCCTCTTAGTGGCTTATACAGGATGCTCAATAAATGTCATTTCCACCTTCTTTCCCCAACAAAACTATCATCATTAACATGGGAAACTTCTTTTGATCAAGGCCTTGTAAGAAAAGAGAAATGGAATATGATTACAGAGAAAGACCAGTTACTTTCACAAATTAAAAATAGGTTTGGGCATAAGCACCTCTTGCTATGGCAGACTTTCATTTGATGCACTAGAGGACAAACAATTTAGAGGTTTCTTTTAATTGAAGTCAAAATTAATCAGAGCAACTAGTGAGAATCCATTCAACATAATGTAATTCTGTTTGGAGACTGAGATATTATCTTTGTTAATGGACATCTGGAAGCCTGTAGGTGAACATCAAAGCCAAGGACCCATTCATCTTTCTGTCTGGCTGTCCCTTTATTCCTATCTTAATATACACTCCCAGGCAATACACATGTACATATACATGTACACACATGTGTGCACACATGCACACACACATGCATGGGCACAAATAAACATGCATGCACACACACAATTCCCAGGAGGCTAGTGTGTTCTCTTTATAAGATAGCATTTCATTTTGAGAAATAGTTCTTATTTTTGCTACTCTAATAAATGTTTATTGAATGAAGAAAGAGATGAGTGAATGAGTTAGCTCTTATGGGCCAACAACCAGCTCTGAAACATGCCTTTTGAAAAAAAGAAAATGTGTACCCTACACAAATAAATTTGGGGAAACCTGAATCCTTAATTACTACAGGAGATTCACAAAGCACAAGCACCTATAAAGCTTCTGAGAAGTTTCTAGTAAAGAAACCAGTTTGTCTGTTTTCTGGGGATGTGCTTATCATTTAAGCCTGGAAGTTCTTTTTCCTCCCCTAGGTTTATTGACCTGTAATTGATACATGACACGGTTTAAGTGAAGGTATAGTGTGTGTTGAGAAACCCGCTTAACTTTTCTAATACAGAAAGTCCCAATTTACTGGACCAAGGATAGCTCTTTTATGTACATGTTTGTTTGTGCTTAACACCCATTAATTTCACAACATCTATTGTTCTGGGAAAAACCGTTTGGGAAAGCCTGTGCTAGCTAGTTAGGTAGGAGCAGAGCTGCCTAGAGGCCAGCTGGGACTTGGCGATGTGCAACGCAGCTATGTCTGATGGTGAAGCTTACCCTGTCTATCTCTGCAGATCGCTGAGGCCACTTCCCGCCAGGCCAGCCCTAAAAAACTGGGCTCTGTTATAAGGACAAAGGAAGCCTCAATAAACTAAGGGCCATGAGACCTCAGAACGCTTTGGTACCGGGGATGGGAAGATGACAGGATCCTGCCAGTTTCCCACCCCTTTTCCTCTCCTTACACAGCTTCATTCCTTCTGTCTCTGTGCTCCCTCCCCCTGTGCTGCTCCAAGTCACAGAGCAGGGGGGAAGTTGCCACCACAAAGCTACCTCCACACCTTAGCACTGAAGTTTCAGGCCCCTAGGTTTGCCATCCATAGTGACTTCTTACAAGGAGGCTGCTGGACCCCTTTTCCCTCGGGGGAGGGAGACAGCTAGAGATTTCCAGACAGCCACTCCATGAGGGCCCAGCATTCTCCTCTCTGTGTTTTGCCCACCTGTGCTCCTAAACCCTGGCCATGCCTGAGAACCACCTGAAAGTATTTTCAAAATACTTGTCTTGGGCTTCCCAGCAGAGATGCCAATTCAGTAGATCCAGATAGGGATCTGTATGGTGTAAAAGTTCCTCCAATTTTGCCAAAGTATTACTCTAGAATCATCCATGTGCTGTTTGTGCCCTGGGTACTTGACACCTTCCTGACCTCTAAATCTCTGGTTCTTCTTGCCCTCTCACTTGGTTCCCCTCTGTTGTTTCTTGACCCATGGAAATATTTCTCATCTCTGAAGGCCCAGTTTAAATGCCACCTACTCCAGGAAGTTTCCCTGATTCTGCCTACTCGCTGGAATCAATGAGTTATTTCTTTGTTCTTCAATTACATTTTGCTGTCACTCATTAGAACTGAATCTTTCTTTCCCACCACATTTTAAGTTACAGAAGGCAGAAGATCGGTATTTTAAATAATGTTTTTCTAATATATTCTCATGTAAAATTTGGAAAATTATGACAACTAAAAAAAAAAGAAAATCTATAATTTCCCACATCAAAAATAGCCATAGTTTATGTTTGGGCCTATTCCCTCTAGTTTTTTTTTTTTTTTTATCACTGGGCCATGTGTGGTTTTCTTTGTTTTTTTTCTCATAAATGGAGTCCTATATTACTTTCTGCTCTGCTTTCCTTCAGTTGATTTTATATGGAAAATATTTTCTTACGTTATCATTTCTTCAAAAGCATTATTTTACATGACAGCATAATATCCCACTGCAAAAGGACTATACCTTATTGACTCATTTCCCAGTTGCTGGACATTTGTATCATCTTCTGTTTTTATTCTTGCTCTTAAAAATAACAAAGTGTGCTGGGTTATTTTTCATTTGTCTCTGCAGAGCCGCTGTTCACCCTGGGTGCATATGGACTTTGTCGAAGGGCTCCCTTGCCTTTGGCTGGGAGGAGGGTGAGGGTGGGCTATTTATTCTCACAGGTTGGCCACATAGACGCCCTCACTAAGCAGTTTCTCTCTCCAGCTTCTGGGAACCACTCACTTCCTGCTCTTTCAGGCCTTCAGCAGGCACTGGGGGATCTCTGTGGTGGCCCCCCTGTCCCACTGTCCCTTGTGCCCTCCCCACACCCTGCCCACACTTTGTGAGCAGGTGTGTTCTTTTCTTTTGCTTTGCTTTTTAAAAATTAAACTGCCCTCAAATTACTCAGTGTAAGCATGTAGTTTCCTGACAGGATCCTGACAGATGGCAGTTGACATTTTGCACCTAAATCTTTGGACTCAATTTCCCTCCTAGAGGTTCCAGATCAATTCTTAAAAGTGAATCAGTGGATAGGAACATGCTTATAGCACTTAATTTACATTGTCACACTACTTTCCAAGAATCAATTATGCCAAATCATGCTACTCCAAAGAGTGTTTGTTTCAGAACATTAAAAATTACCATTTTGAACCTTGAAAATGTCAGTAAGCAGAAAGCATTTTATGTTTTAACTTGCATTTCACTGATTACTAGAAAAGGTGAATTTTTTCACATATTTAAATTTTTCTTTTCTGAATGACCATGCCTAATTTCATCCTCTGTCCTTCATAACATTTACCTACCTACCTGTAGTAATAATCATAAAAACTATAATTAGTATTATCATTATCACCAATTTGGGCAACCCAACGGATGGTTGAACAACTAGACCAGCCAGAGACTAAAGACACATTACAAATAGAAAAATTAATAACACTTGTTAAATGAGATGCTTAGGGACCACATGCATTTTCATTCAAAAGAGTGATAATTGCATTATAAAAATTGTCACTAGTAGTATTAAATTCCTATTATTTTCCAGGTGCTGTGCTAACTGATTTACATTTGTTATCTATCAAACCCTTAACATGTGTTCTGATTGATCAGTATGTTTACTAACCTTTGAACGATTTCTGGACAACATTTCTGAAACCCAACTCCACCCAGAGTTTTATAAGCACTTGAAATCTAATCTCTCTCTCCAAAATACTTTTTACCTAATGAGACATGAGTTCCAACGAGATGTGGCTTTACTGATGCTCTAACATCCCTAACCTTTGGTTCCAAAGTTAAGCAAAACTGGAAATGTTGATTCCACTAGACAGATAAACTGTTCTTGGATATTTCCAATTTCACTTTATAAACACTAGGGGTTTGGAAGGTTTGCATAAACATCCAGTAACATTTGAATTTTTTGCTGCTTCAAGTGTCTAAGATTCATCTGTTGAGAAGAGATTTTTTTTTAGAAAACAACCACATTAAAGTCACTTCCAACTTCTCTTTTCAAGCTCTGCTTTAGAATGAAATGCAGAAATTTCTGGGGCAAAATGTGGCCAGTTTTGAGGTCTGGAAGCAAGTGCCTCCTGAGATAAGCCATAGTGCCAGACAGGCAGAGTACCACTATCATTCTGAACATGTCCTCCTCTGAATTCTTCTCCTTTAAACAGAGCATTCCCCCCACACCAAAAATTTCAGCCTTCATATTGTCTATTCTTAGACTATCAGGCTCACTCTCCTTATTTCACTGCTTCCTTCTTTTCCAATCTGGAAGGACGGCAGTAAGAATGCAGTCGGTTTTCTGTAGCGTTTGATCTGGCAGGGAAGAAAAAAGTGGTAGTTTTGCAGAAGGACCAAATGCTATTTCTGAGCTTTGTGGCTTTGCACAGATTTTTATTTCTGTAAGAGGTTGTGTCTTACGTATTACGGTCTTGGATTTCTGCTTGTTGCCATGGACAGCCAAGCCCCAGTTTTAATTTCATATTCCTTTGGCTGGTAATGATGAGTCTGACAGATGAAACAGGACTCAGAGACAACCCTCACTTCCATCACCGCTAAAATTGGCCTTCATCTGTTTTCAGAAAGAGCTGATTTTTTTTTTTAAGTAAAATCAAAGGAGCAGGAAGAAAAGAATGGACCCCATGCCCCCATCCCTGTTGATGCCAGCATCATTCCCGGGGTGTGGGCATCCTCTAGGTGGTAGTTCCTCTAGAGGTGCAGCCTTATCCACCCCCAGACAGACCCACCTGTGCTAAATAAAGGATGCTCCATCTTCAGCCACTGGGTGTTCTAAGTCCAGCTCTCTATCCCTGTCAAGTCTGCAGATCATTCAGGCTTTAGGTTCCCAGAGGAGGGAGGAGAGACCGTTTATCCAAGGGAACGTCTGTAATACATGTTAAGTGGCGCTAGCAGGAAGAAAAGAATGGACCCCATGCCCCCATCCCTGTTGATGCCAGCATCATTCCCGGGGTGTGGGCATCCTCTAGGTGGTAGTTCCTCTAGAGGTGCAGCCTTATCCACCCCCAGACAGACCCACCTGTGCTAAATAAAGGATGCTCCATCTTCAGCCACTGGGTGTTCTAAGTCCAGCTCTCTATCCCTGTCAAGTCTGCAGATCATTCAGGCTTTAGGTTCCCAGAGGAGGGAGGAGAGACCGTTTATCCAAGGGAACGTCTGTAATACATGTTAAGTGGCGCGTGAGAGAGCCGTCTCATTTATTGGCTGAAACACGAAACGGAAAACATGTGCAGCTACACAGGGCCCCTACAGGCTTCTTCCCAGGAAGTGGAGTGATGAAGGATGGGGCGAACACGTGAATTCAGGCAGCCCACATGCAAAAAGCATCTGTTGGGTGGAAATCCTGGGCATTGGGATTGAAATTTATAGAGACAGATTAACTTCTAGTCTCTAGTGGGGATTCTGTTTCCCCTGCTATGGGAATAGATTTTTCCATTAAGCAAAAAGGAAACATTCTTCATTCAATTATATGTTTATTGATGCATTTAATGCACATTTAGCAAATGCCAATGTCTGTGTTAGGGGCTGAGGATAACTGAGGCATGGATCCTACCTTCAAGGACCTCACTCTCTAATGGGAGAAAGATGGATAAATGAATATTTATAATATAGAAGAGTCAGTGTGACTAGAGAAATGTACATAGAATTTGGGAGGAAACTGGGGGGGATAGCCATCGTAAACCAAAAGCATTGGATATTTACTGCTTTTAGCCATCAGAGATCCATTTCCCTTCCTCTTGATAATGTTAAAAATAAACATTTATTTGAGTATTCATCTTTCAGCCAACTAGCTGTACCTCCAGCCCAGGAATGGGTCCTGATTGGCTGAAGCCAACCATCACATCCCATATCTCTCTGAACAGAATCATTGGTTTAGGGCATGTAATCCAGTTCAAGTTGGTGTGATTCAGGAGGGAGCTGCTGGAAGCTTCCTGGAGTGAAGCTCTATTACTCTTTTAAGAGAACTTCTGAGAAAGCCAGCCCTCTTCCTGCAGGAGGGCTGTGGTCTCCAGGAACTTTTTAGTTCAGGAGGGGGTTTGGTTCATCCTTGGAATGGAGAAGAAGCCACAGAAGGTAGAGTAGAAATGAAAGATAATGTGGTTTGGTGTCATTGCTGAGCCACTTCTGCAAGCATTGTCTGGAGTCCATTGTACAACCTATGAGGTCTTCAGTTAGAAAGACTGATAAATGCCCTTTATTACTGAACCACTATGGGTGGAGTTTCTTAATACTTGCACCCAATGATAGTGTTTCAAAAAAGGAAAGAGGGAATTATATTAACAATAGCTAACAGTTACCGAGCACTTACAATGTGCCAGTATTCTGATAAACACTCCATGTGATCCTCACAGTGATCCTAGGTGGTGAGTTATCCTTATGCCCATTTTACAGATTAGAAAATCAAGGAAGGTTAAATAACTTGCCCAAAGGCACACAGAGCAAGTGTTGACTATTATAGATATTGTTAGGAGGTCAAATTAAATGGAGACTTAAACATGTCCATTAGATTGAGCAATGTGAAGTACACAGGAGGCCTTAGAGAAAATGTTCTGGGCAAATTCTGAGAGAAAAATCTGGCTCAAGGTGAATTAAGATATGAATGAGAGCTAATGAAACAGATACTGTGTGAACAACATTTTGAAGAAGTTAGGCATGACTTATGGCCTCTCAATCAGTTAGAATGCTTTTGGAGGAAGTAATGAAAAATTATAATTGAGATGTTCTTAAACAATAAGAACATTTATGTTTCACATTTCAGGAATCCCACAAGTAGGGCAGACTGGGAAGTTGGTAGTTTCATTATCTCAACAATATCATTAAGGATCTGTTTCTTCTTAAGTCTTTCTTGTTTTTTTGTGTTCCATAGTTTCACTCTGATATATTTAAGTGTGGACTTTCTTATATGTACGTATCCTGACTTGGATTTATCAAGCTCAATGAATCTAAATCAAACTTTTATTTGGATTTATCAATCTCAATGAATCTAAATCAAACATAATACATGTATTATGAATTCTGAGAAGTTATCACCCACTATTATAGGAAATCACCTGTGTCATGATCTGAGTTCATATCACCACCAATAGGCAGAATTTCCATTAACAATGAGATCAGTAGAAGTGTATTAAAACATCAACAACAAATCAGTAGCATCACAAATATCATGTCTACTGGAAAGTAGGTATGAATAGCATGTTTCCATCCCACACTTTTGTGTGCCTGGGTAAGAAATATAAGTTATGTATCAGAGCTGGCAAGCACACAGCATGAGTGCCATTGTGTCTCCTCCTCAAGTCCATGGCGAGTATCACTCACCTATGGGAGCATTCCTTCCTACTGCGTTCAGATGTGGACTCTGGTCTTTGCCAGCTGTTCAGTTGCCACAACCAACTGATTGACATACAAGCTAAAATCTACATGTTATCTGTAATCATTCTAACCAGAGAATAAGCGGGAATGCCTCCTCCCATTGCATGCTTTCAAGAGATGCCGGGTCACTGTCTTCTTTTTAAATCCAGTCATAGACTGAAATGCTACCAAAAACTGGGTATGGAGTACAAGAGAGTCTAACATGTGCTTGCCTCTTGGAAGGCAGTGTCTACCACAAGTAAAGCACGTAAAGCAGACAGGAGAAGGGGAACAGTGGTAAGAGTTGCAACACTGAATGAATTGCATCAAAAAACGATGAAAAATATAGATAAGGGAATGAGTCAGCGGACATTGTGAAGTCAAACACATGTTTAATTGAAATCTCACTCCAGGAAGAAGAATGGAATAAAACAGAAGCAATCTTTCAGGAACTTATGGCTATTTTCCAAAATGATGATGTTAATATACAGATTCAAAAAGTTCAAAAAAATCCAAAGTTTGATTTTAAAAAAGAAATCTAGACACATCATAATGAAAGGTTAGGAAAACAACTGGGACGAGAAAAGGATAACCCAAAGAAACAACAATTAGACTAACAGCTAACTTCTTTAATTAACAGCAAATTGCTTCCAGCCAAGCTGAGACCATCCAATACAAGAAGTGAGGACCCCACCCACTGTCGTTGGAGGCCAGAAGTGAGCATTGCTGGGGCACGGTGTGGGGTGCAGGCAACTTTCGGAGAGGAGGTCTCCACCTAGTGCTTGGATTCAGCTTCTTCATTTCCAATGTGGCAGAAACTCAGGACTCATCCTGATGCGGCAGACAAAGTGGCTACGTGCCCCTTCGGTGCTCACCCCCAGGTTCTTGGGCCAAAATCAGTCACCCTATCTGAAGCCATGACAAAACTTATATTGAACAGGATGCTGTCAATCAAGCCAGGAACCTGGTACAACAGACTCTAGCTAAGAGCACATGGCAAGGCCCTCCTTGTGATGAAGACTAGGATAAAGACTTGTAGGGACAGACCAGCATCTCATATGTCTGGGGCACAGTCAACTACTGTGGCGACAACAGCTTTGCCAGCAACCCAGTTATGGAACCTGGTTCCAGCCGTGGGTGTTCCCAAGTCTCTGCCATATGTTCTACATGGAAAAACAATGAAAATGCACAATAACTGAGTATCTGTCTCATCAAACACCAGACTCTGGAAGAACTCTTGCTTCTTCTTGCTCCCAGTGAGTTCTTCACCTTTTTCCTAATTTAAATTGTAGAAAGATTAAACTTTGACTTAAAAAAAAAAGCCTGGGGATTTGCACAACTTGCTTCTGCTCTTCTGGATCCTCTTGGAAAGATGTATCATAGTGCAGTCAGCCTTCCTCTGGGGTGTCTTGAGTTTGGGTCCTGGGCCCTGCAGCCAATGCTCTGTGGGATCTTGGAGAAATTCACAGAGGCCCACCCCTTAGTGTCTAACGATGGAAGGGAATAGAAAGTAGGGCAGGGTGAATGTGATAACTCCCCTGAAGAATGTGGGGGGACTCCCTAGCACTACGCACTGCTCTGAGATACTCGGAGTGAGCAAGGGTCAAACTCCACCAAAGGTCACATGGACATTTGCCTGGTGACCTGGGGTAATCAGGGGTGGGGGAGCAGAGTGGCGGCCTACACTTGATGCACTTTTCAAAGATGAATGGGAGCAGATGTGGCTCTGGTTCCCAGGAAAGGAAGCCTGTCTAGTGCACTCACCTCCTGAGGATTTGCCCAGCCTCCTCAGCAGAGGCCATTGGAGCTTGGGTGTGATGTTAAGAGCCAAATTCTAAATACCGTGAGCCTTCTCCAATTCTACAGTATTGGGAAAACATCTTGTACTTGCTGACCATGGAATGGCCTTCCACCCGAGAGGGACAGGCTCTGCTGTTCCCGGCTTCTTCTCACATGGGTGTGGGTGTGACACATGCTCATACCACAGCTCAGGCACCACAGATTCTGCTGTCCTCTGACATTTAGTCAAAAGGGACTTCTAAGGTCATCCACTGATGCTTGACTTCTTTTCCATCATCCCCAGCAACTAGCCATGTGCCTTCTGCTTTAACACATCCAGCAACAGGAAACTCACTCCTTAACTTAAGCAGCCTAATTGCACATTTTGGGGATTTTGGGGCTTTTTTTGCATGTCGGATGGAGATTCCTTCCTTAAAATAAGCAGAAACTTATCTTCTTTAAGTTCTTTTCTTTCTGGTCTTAGGTAAAGTGACCATAGTATGTATTGTGCAAACCCAGTTTCATGCTTGAGACTAAACAGGGGCACGATTCATAATTACCCCTGGAAAGTCGAGATAGATTGGAACTCTCTTGGCCAAACAAGCCATAAGACTGCCCCAATCTTAGGTTTACCCTGTGGGCATCTAGAACAATTCTAAATCCCCTTCCTTAAGAGTCACTGACATTTAAAGGCCCTGGAATTACTCCCAACTCTTCTCTCCTCTAGAACGAATGA